TTTTTTCTTCTTTTTCTTCATCTTGCGGTCTAGTATTTTGCAGTAGGTACTCTCTTCTGCTTTGTTTTTTGTAGTGTCTTTCAAATCTGTGGTTCTCCCCCTGCATTTCCTCATGCTTTTCCTTGCCGGTTTCTGGGCTGCAGCCTCCTGCCGCTCGGCAGTGTGTGCTAAACTGTGTAGCCAAATTAACTGGAAACGCTGGCCAGGAGCAGGAGCCTGGTCACTGCCCATCTGCTATTAGCACGGTCACAACTGGAGCAAAGAGGAAACAAGACGTAGGGAAGAGGGTGGAAAATCCATGGCATGCATGGTCAGGCCTTAATCTCTCTAAGGCAAGTGAGCATGCAATTTCAGAGGTGTTTTTGGTTAAACTACTTCGAGGATTTTGGCACCAATTTGGAATGATTTTTCAACAACCTGAAAATTTTAATGACTAAATGACTGCAGAAGTAAGGTAAATTATTCATCAAAAAAGGCTTAATTTCACTGCAGCTCCTATAACCTAAACTTTGGAGACTTTTTAGTTTGTTGACTGAGTACAAGAGGAGACGGTGTCTTTCTCACCTAAGTGATTTGAGAGTTCATGGTGCATTTTTGGCATGTGAGGAAGGAAAGGGAGAGCTGCTGGCTTGACCGGGAGCTGCAACTCAATCCAGAGAGCAGCTGGACTGGGCAGGGAGCCACGCTGGAGGGATTCGATCCGACAGCAGCTGGACTGAGCCTGGCGGAGCGCCTTGCTGGAGGGGTTGGATCCGAGAGCATCTGGGCCAATTCAGGAGGCTCAGGCCAATCCCTTGGTGATGGAGATGGATGATCTGAGCGATAGGAAGTAGATCCCAGTTTTCACTGGGGTTTTGCTGCGTTATCCATAGGTATAGCAAAAGGACAGAAGAGGCCTTTGTTGGAATAGGTCACGTAGAGGTTAGTGAATTTATGAATCGTATCCAGCTGCGGTGCTATGTCCATGACTCAAACTAGGGCAGTGTCGGTCTCCAGGTGTAACCGGAGCGAATGACCAGCCTGGCTGCGCTGCCGACAGCAGCGCCCTCCCTGCCTTAACGCACAAGAGCGTGTGCATGGGTGTTGAGCAGGACTCTGGGGGCTCTGCATCACTTCGACACATTTCTCTGGCAAGCCAGGATCTTCTCACTGACTTGGGTGGCAGCATCGAGGAAAATGAGAGGAAAAAAAAAAAAAAAGCCCAAACCAAGCAGTTTCTTGCTGTCTGTTCTTCCCTTCCTGTCCTCCAGTCAGAATGAGTAGCCTAGGCAGGCTTCAGAATCACAAACTAATCTTTCCTCTTACTTTCTTTTCCTGGGCTGTTGGGTGCTTATCCGTAATACAGCCCTTGAAGAATCTCTAGAGGTCCTGTTATTCTGGTGCATCTCAATATTAAAGACTAAACTGTTCTTTTTATTTGAGTAATTCCTTTAAAAGGATGAAACTTATGTAGGTAGATTGGTTCAGACTGTGATGGATATTTAGGCAGCTATTATGCACAACTATAATTAGATGGTGACTAGGCACCTAAAGTTCTCTGAAGTCCTGTGTCTTAGTCAATAACCTTGAAGATGCAGTTTGCTCATTACAGGACATTTCTTAGTGCTTTTCCATCTTAAATTTTAGAAAACTCAAATGATATGACTGCCTCTTTAGTTTGACTTCCAGATTTTTGTCTCGGTTTTGTCTTTACAGTGTGATATGTCCATTAATAAGGTTCCTTTCAAACAGCAGAACTATTGTTAATAGAATTTCTCTAATATTCACTTAACTTGATCATCTGACCAGCATCATTTACTCTGCGATACCATTGCTCTGCATCAAATCCTTATCTCCTTGTGCCATACAGTACTCTTGTTTTTAAGCTGTAACTGCAAGTACAGTTGAAACTGGCATAGGCCAACAGTGCAGCTGAAAGAGTGGCCCTGTCCTTGCTGCACTGGGCTCCCCTCCGCGCTGCGCCTGAGCCAGCACGAGCGTTTGTGTCACCGCAGCACCCAGAGCTGCTTGTGCTCAGCAGAGAATGTTTTTTACTGCCCAGGGGTGCGTGGCAGATGAATAAAGCAAACTCCTACCAGGAAGGTGAAAACAGTTTTTTTTCCAAGCACAGTAAGTGCAGAGTTAAACAAGTTATAACAAGGCCGAGTCCCCTGCAGAAGTGACCACCACTCTCCTGTCACTCCCTTCGTGCCACCAGTTTAAGCCCTCTGCCCACTGGCTCCCCAGCTTATTCTGCTTTCACCAACTCAAGGCAAGCACAGCGTAGAAATTGGTGGGGTAATTGAACAGTGGGAGGAAGTGATTGAGGAACTATAAGTAAACAAGTTAAATTAATACAATGTTTCACAGTTTCGCATTCTCCAATTTCTCTCTCAGCAGCAGATCTTTATGTAGGCCTAGGGAATAAACAACTACACTTAATTAACTGTGCTGCAGAGACCTGTGCATTCTGCCTGCTGTCAAAATATTGCATTTTGGCAGGCAGAAGGGGCAGTAGAGATAGGCTATTACCAACATTATGAACAGTAGCTTAGTATATTGCACAGATAATTTGCTACAGTTTAGATTAGTCAGCACTGGTGGCCACTTTGCTAGTTTTACTGCTGCCTGCGAGTCTTTTCCCTTGGCTCCACAGCGATGTGTGCGGATCTAGTACATGCCTCGTGTGTCACTTGTGTCCAAACGATCAGGTGTTCAGCTGAAAGTGCTGCCGGGACACGTTTATGCACCGACCCTAGTGAAAGGTTTCCCAGCCCCTTGCTGTTTACTTGGTCCAAGAGAAACTGCTCTGTCATTCTGCCTATCGGGTACTGTTATAGCATCATCTCAGTGCAAAGTACCTTATTCTATTCTTTTTGCTTTACCCACCATGACACTTGGAATATTGCTTTCTATGTTATATGCCACCTGAGTTGTGAATTTTCATAAATAAAAAGTATCAAATGTTATGTAAACCTCTGGTGAGTATAACAAAAGGGCTACCAAATAATTTTGAAACAAGGTGTATTTGAACACCTGTTTAGCATTCCTTAGATAAGCAAAACTTCCATGGGAGCGTGTACAGGGATAGCAGGATTTGGCTCTTTCACAGTTACTGTGATTAATGTTACAGGACAAGTTCTTGCTCCTATTGTTTGACAAAACCATTTTATAGCCCATTGCACCAAGTATTTAGCTTGTATATTGCCTTATTAGTCAAAGTGTCAGGAACCTCGAAAACATCAATATATTCTTATCTCATTCATTTAAATTGGTGTCAAAGGCAGCAGTTAAGACTACTCTTCCCTGGAAAGTATGGATTACAGGTTTTTAAGAACCCTAGTATTCAACTAATACAGTATGAGACCCAAATACAAATGAGTGTCTCCATTGGAAGTTAAGACAGAAGACTTTTTCATTCTTTTTACATTCATCCATTTTTCTATTCTGATCGTTTTTTTGGGTTTGGGTTTGCTGGTATTTCTTCCTTTTTCTGTCCCTCCCCACTCCACTCCATGCTTCCTTGTTGACTCTCCATTTAGCCTTGTTGATTCCTGGATCAAGGTGCTCCATAGCTTCCGGTTTGAATGCAGATAAAGGAAAATGCAAGCAGTGGGACACACAGCTGCTGCACGGGGCATCCTGGAGCAACCTGCTTCTGCAGCCCAGTCACTAGAACATCATTACAAACAGGGTGAGATGAGGTTTCTCCCTGTTTCCGCCTCTTTCACCCATTCTAACGATCCTCCTTAGGGAAGACAGATTTTTCTTTGTTTGGAAGTACAGTCTCATTCTTACGGGATAGATTTACTGTGGTCATTTTTTCTTTTCTTTTTAAGATTGTTATTTTTGAGCATAGATTCCCTCAGGGAAGAAGAAATGTTTTGGTGATGGACTGAGTTTATGTGATATGGAGGAAAAAAAATTGATTAATAATCATGTCTGACTTTCCCCATATTTGTGTCATTTCAAACAATCTGGATGGTCATGGAAAGGGAAAAAAGACTCCTTGTTCCTCTTCTTTCCTCCTTTGATAGTTATAAAAGTGACAGGATTCAATGACAAAACTGAACTGGGCTTTATTTTGCTCATTCTTTTTTATCCAACTTCTTCCTTTTTGAAATTTTAAAGTCTTGACATGGAATTATGTGGATTTTAAAAAAAGTATTAAAAAAGCAATTCTCTTCAGTTAGATTCACTTCTGTTAATTAGGAAGTAAAAGTCTCTTGAATAAAGCTGGTAGTCGGTTGAGAGAATTATATGCGCTGCCTCCATTGGTGTGAGGACGCAGCTGTGCCAGCCTCGTGTTGTTCCTGCGCCCCGAGCCGAGCGCCCCATGTGAGCGCACGGTGGCTCTCCGAACTGAGCGCTCCGTGTGAGCGCACGTTGGCTCTCTGAGATGAGCGCCCCGTGTGAGCGCACGTTGGCTCTCTGAGGTGAGCGCCCCATGTGAGCTCACGTTGGCTCTCCGCGCCCAGCGCTCTGTGTGAGCGAACGATCACTCTCCGACCCA